TGTTGCTATTGCTTTCTTCATGACTTATACATGTTCCTATGACTATGAGATTATGCAACTCCCGTTTACCGGAGGAACACTTTGTTTGCTACCAAATGTCACAACTTAACTGGGTGATTATAAAGGTACTCTACAGGTGTCTCCTAAGGTACTTGTTGAGTTGGCGTATTTCGAGATTAGGATTTGTCACTCCGATCGTGGAGAGGTATCTATGGGCCCACTCGGTAATACACATCACTATAAGCCTTGCAAGCATTGTAACTAATGAGTTAGTTGCAGGATGATGTACTATGGAACGAGTAAAGAGACTTGCCAGTAACGAGATTGAACTAGGTATTGAGATACCGACGATCGAATCTCGGGCAAGTAACATACCGATGACAAAGGGAACAATGTATGTTGTTATGCGGTTTGACCGATAAAGATCTTCGTAGAATATGTAGGAGCCAATATGAGCATCCAGGTTCTGCTATCGGTTATTGACTGGAGACATGTCTCGGTCATGTCTACATAGTTCTCGAACCCATAGGGTCCGCACGCTTAACGTTCGGTGACGATTTGTATTATGAGTTTATGTGTTTTGATGTACCGAAGGTAGTTCGGAGTCCCGGATGAGATCGGGGACATGACGAGGAGTCTCAAAATGGTCGAGATGTAAAGATCGATATATTGGACGACTATATTCGGACATCGGAAAGGTTCCGAGTGATTCGGGTATTTTTCGGAGTACCGGAGAGTTACGGGAATTCGCCGGGGAGTATATGGGCCTTATTGGGCTTTAGGGGAAAGAGAGATGAGAGGTTGTGCGCCCCCAATGCTTAGTCCGAATTGGACTTAGGGGGAGGGGCGGCGCCCCCTCCTTCCTTCTCTTCTCTTTTCCCTTTCCTTCTCTCCTACTCCTACTACTTGGAAGGGCTCCTAGTTTTACTAGGAAAGGGGGAATCCTACTCCCGGTGGGAGTAGGACTCCCCTAGGGCACGCCATAGAGAGGGCCAACCCTCCCCCTCCTCTACTCCTTTATATACGGGGAGGGGGCACCCCTTGGAGACACAACAATTGATCATTGATCTTTTAGCCGTGTGCGGTGCCCTCCTCCACCATAATCCACTTCGGTCATATCGTAGCAGTGCTTAGGCGAAGCCCTGCGTCGGTAGCATCATCATCACCGTCATCACGCCGTCGTGCTGACGGAACTCTCCCTCGAAGCTCTGCTGGATCAGAGTTCATGGGACGTCATCGAGCTGAACGTGTGCTGAACTCGGAGGTGCCGTGCATTCGGTACTTGGATCGGTTGGATCGTGAAGACGTACGACTACATCAACCGCGTTGTGCTAACACTTCCGCTTTCGGTCTAAGAGGGTACGTGGGCACACTCTCCCCTCTCGTTGCTATGCATCACCATGATCCTGCGTGTGCGTAGGATTTTTTTTGAAATTACTACGTTCCCCAACACATTATGCTAAGCTAATGGATGGGTCTTGTCCATCACATCATTCTCTAATGATGTGATCCCATTCATCAAATGACAACACATGTCCATGGCTAGGAAACTTAACCATCTTTGATTAACGAGCTAGTCAAGTAGAGGCATACTAGGGACACTCTGTTTGTCTATGTATTCACACATGTACTAAGTTTCCGGTTAATACAATTCTAGCATGAATAATAAACATTTATCATGATATAAGGAAATATAAATAACAACTTTATTATTGCCTCTAGGGCATATTTCCTTCACCTTGTGGGTCCCGCGGAGCTCCTCTAAACCCTAATCTTTGGCCTATAAATTCCCAAATATCCCCAAACCACCAGAAGCGTCCACAAAAAATACTTTTCCGCTGTCGCAAGCCTCTGTTCCCGTGAGATCCCGTCTTGGGGCCTTTTCTGGCAATCTGCCAGAGGGGGGTTCGATCATGGAGGGCATCTACATCATCCCTATTGCCCTTCCGATGAAGCGTGAGTCGTTTACCTCAGACCTACGGGTCCATAGCTAGTAGCTAGATGGCTTCTTCTCTCTCTATGATCTTCAGTACCATGTTCTCCTCGATGTTCTTGGAGTTCTGTCCGATGTAATATTCTTTTGCGGTGTGTTTGTCGAGATCCGATGAATTGTGGATTTATGATCATATTATCTATGAGTATTATTTGAATCTTCTCTAAATTCTTATATGCATGATTTGATATCTTTGTATTTCTCTTCGAATTATCGGTTTGGTTTGGCCAACTAGATTAGTATTTCTTACAATGGGAGAGGTGCTTAGTTCTGGGTTCAATCTTGCGGTGTCCTCACCCAATGACAAAGTAGGGGTAGTGAGGCATGCATTTGTATTGTTGCCATCAAGGATAAAAAGATGGGGTTTTCGTCATATTGCTTGAGTTTGTCCCTCTACATCATGTCATCTTACTTAAAGGCGTTACTCTGTTCTTTATGAACTTAATACTCTAGATGCATGTTGAATAGTGGTCGATGTGTGGAGTAATAGTAGTAGATGCAGAATCATTTCGGTCTACTTGACACGGATGTGATGCCGATATGCATAATCATTGCCTTAGATATCATCATAACTTTCACTTTTCTATCAATTGCTCGATAGTAATTTGTTCACCCATCGTATTATTTTTCTTCAAGAGAGAAGCCTCTAGTGAAACCTATGGCCCCTGAGTCTATTTTCCATCATATATTTTCAGATCTATAAACCACCAAAAATACCTTGCTGCAATTTATTTAATTTTACTTTGTTTTACGTTTTAGTAATCTTTTATATCTATCTCTATCATATCTCATCCTTGCAAGTGACCGTGAAGGGATTGACAACCCCTTTATCGCGTTGGGTGCAAGTGTTTGATTGTTTGTGCAGGTGCATAGATTGGAGACTTGCTTATACCTCCTACTAGATTGATACCTTGGTTCTCAAAACTGAGGGAAATACTTATCTCTACTTTGCTGCATCATCCTTTCCTCTTCAAGGAAAAAACCAACGCAAGCTCAAGAAGTAACACACGACACTTAGCAGGAATCAATGTCCTAAGACAGTTGATGAGCATGTGTATGACTGGAGCTCCATATGCCTAGGCAACTTGATCCATCATGTATGCTATGACATGTAGAAGACCAAATGTTTCTTATGCGCTAACTGTTAGTAGAAGGTACCAAAGTGATCCCGAAGTGGCTCACTGTTAAAAATATTCTTAAGTACCTTAGAAGAACAAAGGACATGATCATTGTCTATGGAGGAGATGAAGAGCTTGTTGTAAATGGTTACACCTCTGTAGATGAAGAGCTCACTGATAATTTCTCCATTGCCACCTCTGTATCTGTTCTTTATATCTGCAACGACTTGCTTGGCGTCGAAAGTGATGACCAAATGATGCAACTAGAGATCCTTCACCAAGGCAAGGGCCTCTCTACATGCGATAGTTTCCAGGGTCGATGGATCATCGACTCCTCCAATAACCAATGAAGAACCGCCAAGATAATTTCCTTGTCTATCCCGATAAAATGCAACCCCAACTCCTCCTCTCCCCCTTAGCACACTGGCATCAACATGTATCTTTGTGTAGCCCTCTAGTGGTGCCTTGGGGCGATGCGGGCGAGCCCCACTGAAGCCAACGGCTTGAGTCGCTTCTGGTTTCTTTTCCTTAAGCATTTCCAGTTCACTAATGAACATTGCGACAAACGCATGTATCGACTGGGGGTTCTGAAACACCCCTTCATGGATTGCTTTGCGGCTTGCCGACCACAACGCCCAGAGGGTAACAGGAAGTAGGACAAAGAGGTCATGAGGCAGCTCCTCCATGAGAGTAAACAGCCAACACTTTGCATTAAGTTCTGTAGTTGTAGTTATTTTATGCGCCAGCTCTTCATCTGCTAACACCCACGTGCATCTCGACATGGTGCAATCTACTAATGCGTGCCTCCACGAGTCTGGTGCCCCGCACAACCTGCATGCTGTAGTGCCGGATATGTCTATGAGCAATCACGTCTTCGGCTGACAGCGAATGTTTAGACAAACGCCAAAGGAACATCCTAACCTTGCCCGTGACCTGCGTTTTTCATAAATACTTCCATGAACCTTCATCACTATTTGTACCGGACGAGCCGACATCACCGTTCAACCAAGCTTGCCACCTTGTTTTTGTGGCCACTAACGTTTTATAAGGTGACTTAACTGAGAAGCATTCATTCCTCTCAAATTTTGAGCACCAAAAATATGCCAGGTTTCGTGTACACACGGGGATCCCCATAATAACCTTTGCATCCATAGGCATGAATATTTGTTCAATGTGTTTGTTTATCCATGTTGTGGAAGTGGCGTCGATGAGATCGGAAACTAGTTCCAGTGGGTTGGGTACTAGACATCTATAAGGCATCTTAATGGTCTCTCTGCTACCTATTCGTTTTATTAATCCTTTCTCTAGGATATCCCAGCCCTCAACAATAGCTAGCTCTGCACACTTGGCTCGGGTGACCTCCAAGTGTTGCATCAAGAACAATGTCATCTGAAGAGATTCAGAATGTTGAAGTAAGCGCCACGCCTGCTTGGCTAACATTGCCAAATTAAACAATTCAAAATCCTTAAAGTCGAGACCACCCATACCTTTTGGCTTTGTCATTGATTTGGAGGAGACCCTTTGCTTTGAGTAAGAACATCTTTCTCCTCATATTTTGTTATGCCTGAATGGGCTTTATTTTTGGTAGGTTTTCTTACTGGGTGGGCCGGATCAGCAGAAAATCATGCCCACCATTAGACCCGGCCCACCATCTTACATGAAAGAGAAGAGGTGCCCATCCGTGTCCTCCGTTATAAAACCACCACTTCCTGGGAGCGAGGTGCCCTAACAAATCGCGCAGCCACCGGTCTCCCCTCACCGCGAGCAAGTGGCGGCGAGCCTCACGCTCGCCTCCCTCCCCGCAACCCACAAGACAACCCAGCCCCGACCCCCAGGGGAAGAACCAAAGCACCCGCGACGAGCGCACGCGTAGCAGCCCAACCGCAGCCATGGCCGTCTCCGATAGGTCGCGCAACGCGCTGCTCCCCAGCTTCCTCTACGCGGCCCCCTCCGCCGCCGCCGCCTCCACCCCTTTCTCTGCGGCCGCTGGCATTGGTGGCCGCGGGCTCGTCGCACCGTCCCATGCGGCGGCGACGAGGCCGGCGGCGTGGGCGCGGGCGCCTAGCGAGCCGTCCCGGAAGATCGAGATGTACTCGCCCGCCTTCTACGCGGCGTGCACGGCCGGTGGCATCACCAGCTGCGGGCTCACGCACATGACCGTCACGCCCCTCGACCTCGTCAAGTGCAACATGCAGGTAAGCTTCTATTAGAGCCTTCTTGTCCCCGCGGTGCGTCAATGTATCCCTGATATAAACGAATGATATACCGGAGGCTGGTTAGGTTCTGATCGCGTGCGTTTGTCTCCAATGCATAATGCGTCTGGAGTATGCTACGTAGCATATCCTATGCGTTATGTGGTTCTGTTGTCAATGGATTCGTACACATCGCATATTATTACATCAGTTTGTCTTATGATTCCTGTACGTGATGCTATCTGGGCTAAAATGGTCCTGACAATGTGTTTGTTAACTGCTTGTGGATATTTCTATTTGGTTGGGCGGGATACTGCAAAGCTGCTTGTCCGTAGACCCAGGGTTGGATCATGTAATTGTTTACATTTGTTACATTTTCAGCAATTAACTGTTGTTGCGGACCAACTGTGAATGATTTGTGTATGCGTGCGTGTGTGTTTTGTAGGCGCAATTGATCGCCCTCCTATGTTTTATCATTGTACGGAACCAGTTAGTAATGAAATGTCACTTTGCCTGTTTTATTAGATTGATCCAGCCAAGTACAAGAGCATCTCTTCTGGATTTGGTGTTCTCTTGAAAGAGCAAGGGGCAAAGGGTTTCTTCAGAGGCTGGGTGCCTACTTTGATTGGTTACAGTGGTCAAGGCGCCTGCAAATTTGGTTTCTACGAGTTCTTCAAGAAGTATTACTCAGATATTGCTGGACCTGAGAATGCAGTCAAGTACAAGACTTTGATCTATCTTGCTGGCTCTGCTTCGGCTGAGGTTATTGCAGATGTTGCCCTCTGCCCTATGGAGGCTGTGAAGGTTCGTGTGCAGACACAGCCTGGTTTTGCAAAAGGTTTATCTGATGGGCTACCTAAGTTTGTGAAGGCTGAAGGATATGCTGGGTAAGTCAAGGCAAGTGACTGAAACATTGAAATCTATTGTTCTCTGTAACTGTAATCGCACTCTTCTGAAACAATGCTGGGTATGCAGATTGTACAAGGGAATTGTTCCTCTCTGGGGCCGTCAAATTCCATGTAAGTATCTACTATCTACTCCCTGCTCTGTTGTCACCATGAATCCAGATTGCTTTCCTTAGGAGACATTTGCTAGTTGCTACTCTAAATCATATAATGTTTGGGCAGTGGGCACCCTACTAGACAGTCGCTACTCTTAATAATATAATAAATGTTGAAAACTAAATTTATTTGAAGAATGTAATAACCAAGTTGCTCTGTTATTGACGCATAAGTTGTGCCCCCCTAGAGTGCATATGGTGATAGGAGTGTTACTTCTGCTATCAGGGATACAGTGGAGTGCACTAATCATGCCTTATTATATTCTTGATTTTTGAACATGGTACTATACATTCACGTAATTAAGGGAGCCTAATTATTTGCATGGACATCACAGTCATGCATTTAATTGCACACAGTTCCTCTTGAGATCATAGTATGATTTCCAAGATTTTATGTGTGCATATATTGATATTTCCACACTGCTTGAGCTATACCCATTAAACTGGGCATAGGCTCCAATGGAGTGGTGTACACTATTTATGGACAATGGTCTCATTTCTTGCCGGTGACAAATCTTATTGTCTTTAACATACAGTGATATCATGCATTTTCATCATCGCTTTAAGTCTTTTACGTGTTACACTTCAATTTACAACTGTCTTGTGTGTGTGCAATTCTAGTATATTTTCGCTAGAATTTTTGTGGCACATTGTTCCTGTTATTCGTGAAATCATACTATGATTTCCAAGATTATATACGTGCATATATAGATTTTCCACACTGCTTGAATTCTCTCTGCTGTTCTGAAGTGAAAGTCCAATTAAGTACTAGCATATATTTATGTGTGGGTAGCAACCTCCCAACATTTTTTTCATTTGTTAAAACATTCTTTCATGGTAACCCCAGTATGGTTTTTTCTTGAATATTAACTCTGTTGCACATAGTCATGTTCTTCTCGAAGTCACACAATGATTTTCGAGATATATTTGTGCATATACAGAATTTTCACACTGCTTGAGTTATCTCTGTTATACTAGAGCGAAACTCCAATTACGTGGCGTACATGTTTGTTAAGATTTTACTTTTTGTTTGTTAACACATCTTTCATTGGGACTCAAGTATAGTTTTTTCTAGAATATTAACTCTTCGTTGCACATAGTATTGTTCTTCTTGAAATCACGCAATGACTTTCAGGATTTATTTTGTGCATACACAGAATTTTCACACTGCTTGAGTTATCTCTGTTATACTAGAGTGAAACTCCAATTACGTGGCGTACATGTTTGTTAAGATATTGCTTTTTGTTTGTTAACACATCTTTCATTGGGACTTCAGTATAGTTTTTTTCTAGAATATTAACTCTTCGTTGCACATAGTATTGTTCTTCTTGAAATCACGCAATGATTTTCAAGATATATTTGTGCATACACAGAATTTTCACACTGCTTGAGTTATCTCTGTTATACTAGAGCGAAACTCCAATTACGTGGCGTACATGTTTGTTAAGATATTACTTTTTGTTTATTAACACATCTTTCATTGGGACTTCAGTATAGTTTTTTCTAGAATATTAACTCTTCGTTGCACACAGTATTGTTCTTCTTGAAATCACGCAATGACTTCCAAGATTTATTTGTGCATACACAAAATTTTCACACTGCTTGAGTTCTCTCCGTTGTACTAGAGTGGAACTCCAATTACGTGGCGTACATGTTTGTTAAGATAGATTGCTTTGTTTATTAACACATCTTTCATTGGAACTTCAGTATAGTTTTTTTCTGGAATATTAACTCTTCGTTGCACATAGTATTCTTCTTGAAATCACGCAATGGTTTTCAAGATTTATTTGTGCATACACAGAATTTTCACACTGCTTGAGTTCTCTCTGTTGTACTAGAGCGAAACTCCAATTACGTGGCGTACATGTTTGTTAAGATAGATTATTTACTTTTATGCTATGAGAATTTGCTGCTCTTTGGTGTTTCCGTACACATTTATCTTTGGTTGTTAGCACTTGAGCTTTATTACGCTTACGCAAAAAGTCAAATACTAATAATATTGCCTTGAATCGGGACTTGCAAGTTGCAACTGTTTAAATGTGCGTAATTCTGAGACCACACTGATTTTACATATTTTGTTTGCCTGCACAAATATTGCACCCTACTTGTGTCACTCTGGTGTTGTGAAACTAGACTCCACTGGAGTGTTCTGCATTAGACAAATATTTATGATGCCTGCCTCAAAGCAGGCGAACACGATGTCCCAAAAAAAGAAGCTGCAGTATAGTTGTTTCTTAGTTTCATTTCTTTTGTTTCTGTTTGCTCCTTTTACCTTTTATGTAGGCAGCTAGAGCTAGACTCCAATTAGGTGAATTCTGAACTACTCCCTCTGTAAAGAAATATAAAGAGCAAATGGAAATAGTAACAGCACCATTGCTGTTGTGGTTTTCTGTTGTCTCCTTGTTTCTGGCATAGCCATGGTCAAGTCAATAGTAATGGAGAATTACTTGCAGTTTAGATTATTTTTCCTTTTGGTAGATTGGTTATGTATATTATTCTTTTGCTTCAACACTGAACACTGGAGATGTGGTAGTCTGCAGCGCGATCAAACTACTAGCTTAATCAGCATCTGATCATTTTGTAAAATGCAGACACTATGATGAAATTTTCCTCCTTCGAGACGATTGTTGAGATGATCTACAAGTACACAATTCCTGCCCCCAAGAGCGAGTGCAGCAAGTCTCTCCAGCTCGGAGTGAGCTTTGCAGGGGGTTACGTTGCTGGAGTGTTGTGCGCAATAGTTTCGCACCCAGCTGACAACCTTGTTTCATTCCTCAACAATGCCAAGGGAGCAACTGTGGGCGACGTGAGCTTTCCTACCTTGTAACTCAAGTCATTGGCCACCTTTTATGTTTGTCTTGGTTTTGTTTCTTATTACAGTAGTATATATTTTTTGCGTGTGCAGGCTGTGAAGAAACTTGGTCTGTGGGGTCTGTTTACTCGTGGTCTCCCTCTGCGTATCGTGATGATTGGTACCCTCACTGGAGCTCAGTGGGGCATCTATGATGCTTTCAAAGTCATGGTTGGACTGTAAGTATTCCATTTTTGTTGGTCCTCGTGCGCATTGGGCCAGCTATTAGTCTTGCTCAGGGTAACTTACCCTAAAAAAACCTTAATTGTGCTTTGGCTTGTGCAGGCCAACTACTGGTGGAGTTGCTCCGACTCCTGCTGCCGCTGGAGAGCAGCTCAAGGGCTGAAGCTTTGATTCTATACTGCATATAATATCTGACAAGACTTTTTGGCGCCGAATTGGATGAGATGACGAAATAGCTCATCTTTCATCCTTTTAAGAGCAAAATTTGATATTTTTTTTTCAGGACTGCCTAGCCGCGGCCCTGGTAATTAGAAGTCCAAGACAGTTTAGGAACAATTTTCGGCACATGATCGTCTGGTTTAGGACGATTGCCTGGAACCATAGCATACGTTGCCCATTTTTTTGAATTGTTATTATATGTCTCAGCTAATCCTGGCAATAAAAGCTGTAATTAAGCGCTTGCTTATGGTTATATATTGCTGGACTGGCTTCACCAGCTTGTTGTTACATTGCTGTGTTTTGAGTCTGCTGTGTTAGAAGGTGTTGTTGCGATCTCGCGGAAAATGCGCAGAGCAACACTGCAATTGACTTGCTGGCGCCCGATCGTTCATCAACCAAGCAAACCGCCATTGTCGGCAATGCGCGTCTGGGTACTTCGTACAGCTGTTGTACCGTCGACCAAGTAAAAACCAAGCGTAGGGTTGTTCTACAGTCGACCAAGTAAGAAAGGTTTGAAACAAGGCGCTATTTTCGTACGTAGTAGAATGGCAAGATATGCTGGAGCGTCGCTCTCTGAAACAGACGCCCGGCACTTCCTCAAAAAAAAAAAAATGAAACAGACGCCCGGCACTTCCTCAAAAAAAATAATAAAATGAAACAGACGCCCGGCAAGAGAAGGGATGAAGCCATACGCCAAGCAGGAAAAAGATCTCCGGACTCGTATGAAATACCAAGCCGCCACGTCTCATCGCCTGCTTCTCTAGTTAGTCTCCCGATCCCATGTGGCAGCCTACTGCTGCTACACAGAGGCACGCAACGCAAACTCTGTATGTAGCATCTGCAAATATAGAACGAAAGATTACTCCATACCGCATGGTTAGCGTGGCTGAATGGAGGAAAGACCCGCAGACACATGGCATGGAATCAACGAAAAAAAATATGAGAATATGAAACAACGAAATACAACTTTATTAGAAAAATAAGGCCTTGTATAACTCTTGCATGAATACAGGGGGTTGTGTCGATTCTAATAATCCAACTTTGAGTTGTCAATAATCTAAAATGGGTAACACCGTAACAGTGAGTTGTTTTACTCGGTAGCTTTTAGTACTAATAACTACCTTTGCACAACGGTATAAACTTTGGCACCCTGTGTTACGCGCGCAGAAGATGGCAGGCCAGGATGATCAGCCCGATCCGACCTTCCAAATGGAATCCAGCGACTGGCTGCGGTTCGTCCTCCTCTCGGTCGCTCACCACCACCAGTCAGTCCCCTCCCCTTCCCCTTCACAGCTTCACTCCCTCTCCCCCTTCCACAGCCGAGAGTTCTAGAAGCCAACCATAACACTTCCCCTCCGGCCACAGCCTCTCCATTCTCCTTGGGCAATCCCGCGGTAGCGAGCTCGACTCGATCGGACCAGCGGGGTCCATGCCCATGGCGCTCCTCTCCGCCACCTCCCCCGCCAAGACGCTCTTCTGCCACGAGGAGCAGTACCCGGCGCAGAGCGGCCTCCTCCTCTCGGCCCCGCAGTCCAGGAAACAGAGGGCGCGCGCCAGCGCCAGGCTGGTGGCGGCAATGCGCCCGGCGGGCGCGGCCGCCACGGAGACGGCCTCTACGGCGGGGGCGACCAGGAGCGGGAAGCCTCGCGTGCTGGTGGCGGGCGGCGGCATCGGGGGCCTGGTGCTGGCGCTGGCGGCCCGGCGCAAGGGGTACGACGTGACGGTGTTCGAGCGGGACATCAGCGCGGTGCGCGGGGAGGGGCAGTACCGCGGGCCCATCCAGATCCAGAGCAACGCGCTGGCGGCGCTGGAGGCCATCGACATGTCCGTGGCCGAGGAGGTCATGCGCGAGGGCTGCGTCACCGGCGACCGCATCAACGGCCTCGTCGACGGCATCTCCGGCTCATGGTACGTCCGTCCAACTCGACTCAAATCAGCCGTGCCTTGCCTGCTTATCAACCGCTGCTCACCTGCTCTCTCCCTGCCTGTCGCTTGCTTGTTGTGCCTTGGCCGTTGCGGCACTGCTAGTAATAAGTGGGCAACGTGCGCAAACCGATTCCACTGCTGATCCCGCGACCTCCACCGCGCACCCAGACGAGACGAGACGGCGCCGCCCCACCCGGCCGGGCAACAATGAAATGAAAAGAGCCTGCGCGCGGCGGCTTCCCGTTCGCCCGTAGGCGTGCCCACACGGCCGCCCAAACGCACCGAGGAGGCCACCACCACCAATCCTGGACTGGACTCCTTTTCTCACCACCACGGGGCACCCACGTACACCACCGACTCGGCTCACCTCCGGGCTCCGGCACAGGAGAAATCCATTCCTCCGTTTCCGTGCCCGGTCCGTGGTGTCGGCCCGCATAACAAAATGGGAAAAATTCGCTATCCCGGCACGGCACGGCGCGTCGGTACGGTACAGCCCCCCCTCTGCCGGGTTGCGCCCAATGAATCCATGTTCGCGAGTACCGGTGCCCGGCGGTCTCATCCCCATCCCATGTGTCTCTCGCCTAGTAGCTGCCCCATCCCGATCGCCAGGCTAAAATAGCCAGCCTCCCGGGGACGTCTTCTCCTTCTCCTTCTGTGAAGCCAGCCTGACTGACTGCCCATTTGGAGCTCCCTCCAGAGCATGTCCACTGAGACTTTTTAGAGAAAGAAGAAGGAAGACTCAACCCAACGCTGAACGGCAGCGAGCATACTCTGCTCATCACAAGCTCCACAGCTTCCACTTCCTGGCTGCTTGTCTACTGTCGCCAATTCCTCATGCCATGCTCCAGCTGCACGCGAGTGTCTCCCACGGCGATCTCCGCCACCTCTTCCTCCTCCCGGACAGTGCTCCGCATACTCCCCTTCCGCTCCCCGCGCGCGCCGTATGGACGCCGGCTCTGCCTTTCTGGCTCCGTACGGTGCACTGCGGAGGTCGTTGACGCGGCAATGCACGCGCCCAAGGCGACGGGGCCAAAGCCGCGCGTCCTGGTCGCCGGCGGGGGGATCGGCGGCCTCACCTTCGCGCTCGCGGCCAGGCGGAAGGGCTTCCAGGTGCTCGTGCTGGAGAGGGACATGAGCGCCGTCCGCGGGGAGGGCAAGTACCGGGGCCCCATCCAGCTGCAGAGCAACGCGCTCGCCGTCCTCGAGGCCGTCGACATGCCCGCCGCCGACCAGATCATGGACGCCGGATGCATCACCGGCGACCGCGTCAACGGGATCGTCGACGGCATCTCCGGCTCCTGGTCGGTACTAATCACGTCCCGCTTCCACTCACACGAGCAGCCCACTGCTTGGTTGCTTGTTGGGATCATGAACTACTACCAAGGATTTGTCCGCTTGCGCCTAAAAATGTTGGGATTTCTCTCTGGCATCAAGTTCTTGTGCAAGCTAGCCTAACAAGACTCTGTTCACGTGGTACAGTGCACTATCGCCACTTGGTACAACCCGATTGGTAGCAGTTCATGCTCACCTGCTTTAGTACGCCATACCATGGCAATTAGTACAGCTCACACTTGATTGGTTAATCGTAGTAGACCTACAATTAGTCAATGATAGCAACACGAGCGAATGAATAACACAATGTAATTTGTTGCTTACTTATCGATGTTGATTTGTATAATTAAATTACATGTAGAGTACTTAGTTGTGCTTATTCTACTGCATATTTGAATTTGCTAGTTGATCAGCTTCAAGATTCATTTGACTGAGCCATGTTGGTATGCAGGTACATCAAGTTTGATACCTTCACTCCTGCGGCTGACAGAGGGCTCCCGGTCACAAGGGTCATTAGCCGCATGACGCTGCAGCAGATTCTTGCCCGTGCTGTCGGCGACGACGCTATAATGAACGATTGCCACGTTGTCGACTTTACTGATGATGGCAACAAGGTGAATCATCAATTCAGTTGTCTTTGAGTGGCCATCTCCGTGCAAAACTGGTTCTCAATGTTATTGAAAAAGTCCAATGTTTGTTTGTAACATTCACCGGATAAGTGCAGGTTACCGCGATATTGGAGGATGGCCGGAAATTTGAAGGTGATCTCTTGGTTGGAGCAGATGGCATATGGTCAAAGGTAATGCAGTCAGTTGCCTTTTCAAAAACAGGATCAAAGTTGACCTTAATAGAGATTTATCTTTTTGAGGGACCTGAATTAATATTTACTTCATTGGATAGGTGAGGAAGTCGCTTTTTGGCGAAACGGATGCATCTTATTCAGAATACACTTGCTACACCGGAATTGCAGACTTTGTGCCTCCTGATATTGACACAGTCGGGTATGTGGCTCAGATCTGAGAAATAAGTACTGTCATTTCCTCTGATTGGAAATACTAATGCGCTTCCCCTTCTTCCTCTGTGAAGGTACCGAGTGTTTCTTGGTCACAAACAATATTTCGTCTCTTCAGATGTTGGTGGTGGTAAAATGCAGTGGTATGCATTTCACAAGGAACCTGCTGGTGGTACCGATCCTGAGAATGGTGAGTGTCCAGAGGGAAGGTTTTGCACTAAGTTAGTTAAATGTTACCTTCCTCTATAGTCTATGATGCCAATGAGGGACATATAGTTGATAGGCATTGCCTATGTGCTTGTCATCCATGCATCCACTAATGCTGTATATTGACAGGCAAAAAGAACAGACTGCTCGAGATATTTAGCGGTTGGTGTGATAATGTCATAGATCTGCTAAATGCAACTGAGGAGGAAGCAATTCTTCGCCGGGATATATACGATCGGCCACCTACTATCAACTGGGGGAAAGGTCGTGTCACCTTGCTTGGTGACTCTGTCCATGCTATGCAGCCAAATCTGGGACAGGGTGGTTGCATGGCTATCGAGGTACATAATTACTTAGCCATGCGTATGATATCATTGTCATTATCAGAAATTCGGCATGGTGGATAGGTTTCCTGCCTTGGTGTTGTGAGATACAGTACTCGCTGATCAATAACTTGTCACTTGTTA